CACTGATATTATGAATATGGACTCCTAAAGTACTACCGTTATAATAATATTAAGGTTTAAAACAAAATCTTTGCTCAAAGTGCATGAAATAAACATATTATAGGGAGGTCACTTCAGCCTGCCCAAACATTATTTCTGAAACTTCTTAATGGATATAAATTAATTTGCCCATATAATCCTTACTTTATATGAAATTCAAATCAAATCTTGCATTATCTCAAAATGGGCTCTTTGTACAATAGTTGCTATAGGATGTAATGTTTAGGTGTGATCAAGATTTATAACTTTTGTTTGAAACATGTTTTGATGTGGCAGACATTTAACTAAATACAAGCAAAGATAAAATTTTATTTGTTAATATGATTTAACTTTGCACCAGTAGATTAGTTTATGCAATAAATGATCAAGGTCAGAGAGGTATGTAAAATTTCACAAGATTAATTTGGAAATCATGAGTACTCCACTGGAATACTGCCCCATTTAAACTTGTTTAATAATTTGTGTGTTCTGTAATAGATTATACACAAATATCTTTAGTTATTATAATTAATTGTGTTTTTAAATGTAATAGTGAGAAAATGTGTCATACTTTTAATGTATTGTACATTTAAACAGTCGATTATGCATATTTTTAAAATGAAAAATGTGTAGGCTATACAGATGGGCAAACTGCCAATTCTGTGGACATAGGAGGGAGGAGGTGACTTCTCAAGAAGCCCCACAGCAGCCAGTTGGGGCAATACAGTACATGGCTGTTATTCTGAAGGGTTGGTTGGGGGTAAGGGAGACAACAAGATGAAGCCCTGCAAAGCAACAGATTCAGGAAAATATTCACCTATAGTCACTGCATGCATGACTGGATATCAGATTTCAGAGTGAGATGTGTAGAGTTAACTGCAAAATCATATCATTAGTTTTAGTTAGCACTTCGGTAAAAATTAATTTGGAAAAATATGTTATCTGCATAATAATAATTTTAAATTAAAAATTTATACTTTAAATATGATACATGTAATAGTTACCAAGATATTAGAGAGTAAAATATGCATGGCAGAAATCTGAAGAAATTGATGGAAACTTCTGTTTTCTGAAACCATTGTTTCCTTAATTTTTAAATTCTTAATCTTTGCTTCTTTTTACTTTGACTGTAGAACATTACATATAATCAAATTCTGATACAATTTTTGGTAGTGACATAACTTGGCACAAAATCTAGGCTGGCCATTTACAATACCATGTACCACTTTCCTTAACCATCAGTAACCCTAAACTGAGGGAAACTATTTTTAAATGAAGCCTTAATTCAAGAAATATTGAATAGAATTTTTCTGAATTATGTAGAGCAATGTTGTTTTATAAATGGCTAAATAACGTTTCCTGTTTTAGAAATTATTATGTCATTACACAGTATATTCAGAATCTGAAGTGGTAAACCAAAGTTCTACATCAGTACTTTTATGTTAGTCCTTTGGTATGACACACATACATACACTAATGTGTGGCTGAGAAAGTTCTAAAGAGCATTCTTTCCTTGCCCTTTTCACACTTTTTAACAAAGTCTAGCAATAGTAATGTATGAAAAATAAATATAAGAAAACAAACTAGTTTCAGTAATCTGCATGAAATGTTATAATAGATAAAGGAAAAAATTACATAAATGTCAAACTTAAAAAAGAAACGTCATTGAAGATATTTTGTGTGGCTTCATAGCACCGTGATTTATACCTTACCAAGCAGTGCAGCTGCGCAGTGTGGTCAATAATGTTTAACTCCCTTTCCATACCCACTCAAACTGTTTTCACCCCTGGTTCCCCTCCCCCATTTACAGTTGTCAGCAGCATCAACATCCAAGGGGAAAATTCAGGAAGAAAACCAAACTTCAAAGTGCAGTATGAAATATTAGTTTCTCTTTGCTGTGGATAAACAGCCAACAGTGTGAACCTCATTGTCAGAAAAATTAAATCACATCTTTCAAATAGTTTTGTCTAGTACAGATCTGAAAAAAAATTCTTGTGTGATATAACAGTAATGTACTTTTGTTTATCTGAAAATGTCTATACAAATAGCATTATTTATGCTAACCATAACTGGTAGTAACATATTTCTAACTTAAGTTAGTTTAAAAATTTGTTTAGAGAAAAAATAACATTCAAAATGTATAGTGAACCGTTTTTCTAAGGTTATCTATAGACAGACAGAAATATCACAAAAATTGAGTTTCTGGAACTTAAATTTAGCTTGAACTATGGAAATAAAACCTCTAGTGGACATGACAGAACTTCAGAACATCAGAATGCCAACCACCATTTCTAGTGGCAACTGTGCTGGCTATTCCATCACTGGACTGCTCAACTCACTGTCAGCAAGTTCTGGAGGTGGAGACCCTTTGGTATCAGCAGCAGGTCTCCTCTCCACTGGGGGACCTCTGCCTCCATCCACCATAGCATCATCTGTGTCAACACCACTCATCACACCATTTGCTTCACCACCAAAATTCAGTAAGCCATTATTGTCCAGTCTCTATTTAATCCTTTCTGGTCCAATATCAAACAGAAATCAGCATATTAATATCACTGACCAAAAATGTTTAAGAGTTTAAGATAATACAGCTTACAGAAGTTATTGTTCTTGCTCATTCCATAAATGGCAATCTGTAACAACATGGCAGATACACAAACTTGTGGGGTGGTGTGACGTAGTACCACTTGAACATTATAATACTATGAGGCTGCCAGCTGACTTCAGGGTTTAACAGTTTAGGTGTAATACTGCTGCAACACAGCAACCAGCTGGGCTACATATAATCCATCAAAATAATATAATTAAAATAAAACCAATTATATTTTTCTGAGGCCCCTCTTAATGTGAAGCCTTAAGATGTAGTGCCTTATTTAGATTATGCATAAATCTGGCTCTGGTGATAATTAATGAACCATTAGATGTAAGCACATGAACTGTGGTATGGACATAGATCATAAACATATTGACAAATGTATGAAATATTATTTTCAAATTAATTATATACATAGTGACATTGAAGCTTTGAAGTTATGTCCAACAAATTTAATGTACAGATAAAAAGCTCTTCCAGTATTAACAACATTCTGTAATAAATTTAGAAATGCTAGCAAAAATAAAAAGATTACCCAGGTGGGATGCAGTCATTACCACTTATATCCAAGCCCAGAACACTAAATCATAAACTAAATTGTATTTCATTGTTAGATTACAAATTTTAATTACCCAAGTATAACATTTACAACATAACAAATTTGTAGGACTAGAATTAAATGCACCACGAAAGCACGCTTTGTGAGTTGTGCTTAAAATTCCTTGTTTCCAATTAATGGCCTTGGCAGAGCTTGTAATCTAGAAAGTAATATTCCTTTACTTGTATGTGATGCAGGATATTGGACAATACCATTGAATGTAACTTGAGTAAGTTTATTTTAAGCAGAAAGGTGCCAGTATAATGTACTATCATGTATTGCCAGAAAAAGCATATATATGAAATTCATATATTTGTGATATATGCTTCAGTAAACTTCTTTATCCCATTTCATGGTGAGAATAGTCTGAAAAATTAAGTAGCTATTTCATGAAATAATCATAGTGATTAAATATCCCTTTTGGTAAATTCAGGAAATGTTGGTAAAGGTACAGATAAAGAACTGATTAATTTAACAGTGTGATGCACAAAACAACTATTTATAAATTACAGTACGTTATTAAGAAAAGTAAGAAATAACATTTGTTTGTGATATCTATTTGCTTTCTTTTCTGGATGAGAAGCTCAAAATTCTCTGACCCTAAATTTAAAGTTTAAATCTCAGAATGCAATTACTGTCCTCCAGAAATGTTAATCACAACTTATACAAATTTTCACAATTTTGTGTTGTGGAATTTTCATTAAAGTAAAAAAAGTCCGTAAAATTGCATGTTACTTACCTAAATATTAACCATCAATTACGAATATGTATGCATATATGGTAAAATTTTCACTCATACAGAGACTCATCTTTTTGTTTCCATCTTTATCACTATGTGGGAATGTGAGATGCTGGCTGGTGAGTGGTTCTCTTATGCAAGTATATTACAACCTGTGGCTCAATTTAATGGAGATTCCATACGTCTGAAAGATGTTTACAGTGAAACCACTTTATTTAGCATGATATTACAGTAACCATCAGAAGCTGAGTCACCTCCATCATCCAAGCACATTTCACAGTGACATAACACTTGGTGTCTAAACTGAAACACAAATTTTTGATGAATATTAAACTTAAGCAGAGAAACACCAGGATTGAAACAGGCCACCCTTAAAGGCCTAACTCCATGATGGAATGTGATGATGAAACAGAAAATGCAATACACATCACAAGTAATTGACCTGTTAGTCTGGCCATACAGTCATAGTTTTAAACACCATGCTTCCAAGAAATCACAGAATCACGAAGGAAGAAACAAAGAACACATTTTAAAGGAAAATCACTATCACATAGTTCTCCATCTACATTTTGTATCTGCTGGCTCATGACATACAAAACAGTGCTACTTATATTCTATACGAAAGGTAACACAGCCACATACCTCTTTGATACACTTTCTATAAGAGATGTGTGATGTTGCTGCTTGCTGAACTGAAACTAACTTCAAAACCTTAACCCTCCTCACTTCTTTCATCATGAAGTCACATTTCTAAACACATTAAAATTCCCACCCTGCTCCATGTTTCTTGCTTCTGTACACCCCTTCACAAACTCCATTACCTACACTCAGGCACCAATATAGTTAGTGCAACCTAATAATGATCTAAGCTAATTAGAAGTTGTTCCCCAGAGGAGGGGATGAAGGGATGAGGTGTTGAAACTCGATCATGCACTTCTTCAAGCCTGCCCAGCTTCATCTCTATTACAGGACAACTAAAACCCCTTTCCACTGCATGAACTGTTCATTCAATTTGTCAGCTTCAGCAAGTTCTAATAAAATAAAGAGTCTCCTTCTCTTCCTCTCAAAACCAAGCTATCTAATTCAATTTTTCCACAAATGTGGTTAAAGGAATGGGAAAACAAAATGGAAATTCAATAATTTTTTCTATTTCAGCAGCTGCTCAGCATAAATTGGATAATTCAGTTCTTCATATTATTTTTATTAACACGCTGTGTATCATATTTTACAACATGGATTCTTTAAAGTATATCATGGCAATACTCATTCTTCAAATTTTTTAAGTCTCAGGTTTGAATTTTGACCTGAAGAGTAACTATTCTGGTTGAGGTTTTTCATTATTTTCGCAAGTTTCTCCAGGAAAATTGGATGTAACACGACCACTTCATTCCATGACGTTTCCAATGCATTATTCACAGCCATCCTATCATTGATGATACATAACCTATGCAGCTGATACAATATTGTTAAACAAAAGCAAGAAACAAAAACCCTTCATTATTTCTTAAACTGTGTGAAATGATGCTTTCATATCTTCAACTTGCAAATGTACTTAAATTCATGGTAACAGAACCTAAGATTCAGCACTACTAATTTCAAAGCCCACCGCTGGGCACTTTTCCTAAGATATGCTTTAATATTATCCTCCCACTTCCTTTACATTATGAACAAAGCCCAAGTAAATAACAGGAATAAATAAGACTTATTTCCCTTCTGCTCAAGACTTCATAACGGTTACAGACTGATGCTCAAAATACAGAATGCATTTATTTTTTATTAATTTTAAGCAGTAAAATAGAATGCATGACTTGCAAATTGAATCTTCCCAATGGACTAATATAATAGGAACACAAATATACAACCAAAAATATGTCTAGCATGTGCCCAGTAAGGAGAAAAAAAAACTAATTTGTGTGTGACAGTACCCATAAGCATGATTCCAGAATGATAAAATAGGAATTAGAATGTCTTTTTAGCAGAATATGAAATCATGAGGTCTAAACCACAATGGAAACTTTATAATTTTATGCACTCACAAAGTTTTAACTTTTACAAAAGTAAAGGACCCATTCTGACCATGTATAACTGAATCTAAGACCCTCTGAATGAGAACTCAAGTGTCTTACTGAAAAGCCATTGAGTCCCTCATTAATTTAACATAAATACATGTATTAAACTAAAAACTAATTTTGTGCATATTTTTACTTTTTGTACAGTTCATTTTTGTGTACAGATTACAGTGATGCTATATTAGGGAATGCACCATCAACATCACTAGCATTACTGTCTTCACCTGGGTCTCCCCTAAGTTTGCCAGGTCTAGGAGGAACACCTCCCACCTCTGGAAGTCCCATCAAGAGAAAACAACGCAGATACAGGTAAACATCAGTATAAATTTTAATATAAAGCAAGAAAACCTCCAAAATATAATCTTAAAATGAAGCATCCTGTTCTGTAATGAGGTATGTAATAGCCATCTACACAGCAAAATAGTGAAGGAAAATTTTCAGATGCTAATTAATGTTAATTATATAACTTCTCATACATTAGACATTGTAGGACTTACTTATTCATTTCATAACATAATTTTTCTTCACTGGTCAGTCTTATGGTTTTACACATCTCTCCAATTTGGCTTTAATATGCCTCTCCAACCTGAAATAATCTTATATTAGCAGTTTCTAATAAGCTTTAAAATATACAAAAAAAATAGGCAAATTTTGCCTAATATTGATCTTTTAAGTCCAACTTTTCTTGTGATTTTCATCTTAGTTAAATTTTAAAACATTTTATTCTGCATAATGGCATTTTTGTCTTTTATTTATCAGTGCTTTTAAGAACATAATTAAATGCCACTCCATCATGAATTCTGTTAGTCTTCATGTACCGACCAAACTCATTACATACTTTTCCATTTTTATTGTTGCCAATGTTTCATGATTTAGTCCTTCAGCTAGATGTTCCACTTCAGTTTTTTTTATATAAAGTATAATACTGTTTCGCTAGAAGACACCTTTCCTCTGTGTGATCCTATTTAGTTTACTATTATTAAAATATAATTTTTTATATTATTTTTTGTATTTTGATGCTTGCCTTTGCTATTGGCAAGTACTCTAATACAGGAGTTGAATCACATTTCATCATCATTGACATTGTTGGTGATTGCATTTTTGTTATTGTAAATACAACTATTCTATACAACATCACTTGATGATAACATATTTACCTACTCATTGAAATAGGACAACATTTAGTAACTTTCAACTGGAAGAACTGGAAAGAGCATTTCACAAGACTCATTATCCTGATGTGTTCTTCAGGGAAGAATTGGCCCTGAGGATAGATTTGACAGAAGCAAGAGTGCAGGTGAGTACTAACTGACCTGGAATCTTATTAATGATGTCATATCATCTTCATACTTGATTCAGAGGATAGAAATTCCTACTTAATCCCAACTCTCCACATTTTTATATATTCTGACAAGAACTGAGAAGTAAGTCATGGCTATGCATGCTTCCTTATTGAAAGATATGTCACTTTTCAAACATGGTATATTTTGGTGCCCAAAAGAAGCAATGCCCATGCCATGGATTGAAATGTACTGTACTGTACTGTAGTTACTATACTGCAGTAATCAGGGAGATCTTAAGAATCCACTTGAAAATAAATTTGGCCCTATGCCTAAGAATTACACCAAGGAGACATATAAGGGGCATACAATGTTGCTTCAATCCCTGAAAATAAGCCTCTGGTACCAATTGCAAGTGAATTTTATAATAATAAATATATTCATTCTATCCATGTATGATCTGAACCTTTCACGGCAGCTAAGTATAATGAATTCTTCTTGGGCTACCAGCCATGTAAGGTGGTTTAATGAAGAAAACACCGTTTCAAGAACCACTTTCACTGGTGTTTTCTTCATCAAACCACCTTACATGGCTGGTGGCCTGAGAAGAATTCATTATATTCATTTAATCCTTGTTTATATTTTTTTTATTTCTGCTTTAGTTCTCACTTGCAATATATGTGACTTAGTAATACTTTGCTTTAAGGTATGGTTCCAGAACCGCCGTGCCAAGTGGCGCAAACAGGAGAAGCTGGCAGCAAAACACCAACAGACAGTACACAGTAATGCCCAGTTGGTTCAAGGACTTGTTTCAATACCAGGCAAGTCTGTAATATAAAATACCAACTGAAAACAAAACTACAATGTATTGAAAGATCTATTTTTACATTTTTATTCTAATCACACGTACAGTTTGTGATGTTGGTGCTGTGGAAAGCTCTCAAAAGTATGTCTAGGCATTAAAGTCAATAAAGAAGAAATTTGTATATTTTAGAAATTCCACTGAAGGACTACTTTGGTAATTTGGGAATAAAGTTATCTGTTGGACTGTCTGAGGTAAAATATGGAAACTTCAATGAAAAATACAGTTAATTTCATATAGAATCTGAAAGTAAACAATTGTGTGAGAAAATTTTAAGATGAAACTTTCTCTTTTTTTCTCTCTCTGCAAAAGTATTTTGACTGAATGTCTTGGCTGAGTAGAAAACACTTGTTTGTTTTCTTCTTCCAAGAAAGTCCATGTCTGAATCACACTGTGGGAGTTTTCATGGCTTTCTTCAGTCCCTCCAGGTTACAGCTGAGATATCTTAACAAAGGCCAAGTCCACTTCTTCCCAATTCATTATTCACATCCTTCCTTTCCATATAACATATTCAGATAAAAAAGCATTGTTAAATAAAATAAGGAACTAAATACAATATTATATGCAAATAAATCACATAAATAGCAAGCAATACCTTACATGATGTTTTTATCTGAAACCAACTACAGTCTCCTCTCATTATATGTCTCATAAAATAAGAAGTGTCCATAATATAATGTGTTTTGTTATTCTACAGTGATGGACACAGTCTTTTGTATCATACATACTCTGGCCAACCTGTTCTTTTTATGTACAGTGTCAAGTCCAGGGAACCTAAGTTTGGAATCACCACTGTTATCACCATCACAATCACTCACTACTGCATCAAGTACTGCTACCACTTTAACTCTTGGTGAGTCATTTTAACATTTTATTAAAAAATGTTTGTGTATTTCGTTATTACATAGCTATACCATGCTTATTTTTTACATAGTATCCAAAGAACTTCATTGAAGGAAAGAATAATCACACTGATTACTTGACACTGGGCATAAAAAATGTCATTCATAAAATGAAATGAAATTGTCACAAAACATACATACATTCTCAATATTACAGCTTTTAGTAAAAATGTTATAACTACGATGAATTTTGAGACCCAATTTGGTTAAAATGCTTCCATCTGTATACAGACAAGACACAATGTTATCTAGTGAAAATTAAATAACATACAATCATTCTCTGTACATTTTTCTTGCAATCACAACAAAAAGTTTTAAAAATACACTCATTAACTTCGTGATGGCTGTCTGCCTATCCACATGCAGCAACTAGAACACTGCTGAAAAGACTTCATGAAATTTGTGTATATTCCAATTGTTAAAATCTGACAATAATGGACACTAGATGAAGACCTACATGCATATCTGTGTGCATCTTGAGTGAAACCAGCTTCATGCTTATCAGAATGAACAATTTTTTAAACAAAAGTTATAGAGAAGAATGAAACACATTTTATGCCAAATACTTTTTTGTAACTCTCACAGTTTTTGAGATAATTAAACAAAAGGGATTTTATGTTGTGTTATTAACTCATGAATCATTGGGGAGATTCAGATTAAATTTTATGCCTGTCCATTCTTGTGCCTATGTGATCATCTGCCTAGCCTATTTTATACTACTTACAACAGAGCATACAAAATAGTATTCATAAATTGCAATCTAATCAGTACCAGAGCAAATTTACCAGACTTGTTACACTATGCAAATATTTCCTACTTGTTATTTATATGCCTGACATTTTTACACTGTTCTAAAACAGTGATGAAACATAACCTGAAAGATTTTTATAGTTACTGTGTCTGTACTTTTCAACACAGTCAAATTCATACAAATTCTGTGTACTGTTCATTGTCTGTTGTAATTTCCATTTGCTGCAGTCAGCAAACCAAAATATTCATAACTCTAGTTCTCTTCTTGTTTTAGTAGACATCCACATGTGCACCATTTGTTTGCTCAAAGAAAATTTAAGTGATGCTGTAACTCCAGCCATGTTTCCAGACAAGACTACATTCCATATTTCTGGTCATGTCATTCAGCTTTTGGTAATATCCATCCACATATGAGGGACACAAAACCTGCAGGTAACAAAGTGTACAAATGTACAACGCTTAATGTGTAGTGTGGCTTGGTGCATGAGCTAATTTTATTCCTTAAAAAACTATGACAATTGGTTTATATACGATCCAGTTATTTGCTTTTCCTCACTTTTATCTCCCTAATATATTTTTCAACAACATACTGTTTTACCACAATCAAGTCTTAGCATCCAGCATTCCTGATAAATCCTGGAGCAGATGGATTAGTAGATACAGAATAATATGACAGTATCCACATTCCCTTTCATTATTAAATATGTTTTCTGAGATGTTGAGCCTTCTTTGAGCATCAAATGATGGATATGTTATAAGTTGTGTTTCAATAAAAACAAAACCAGAGTGCCACATTTTTAAATTGTCTTATAACTTACAGGTATTATGTACTGTGCATACTTTTTCAGGCACTTCAAAATTCACATTTAATTATACTTATACAAAGCGACATAACATGACAACTTTATAATCACCACTAAAGAACAAAAGAATAATCATGCTCAATACCTCCAATGAACTCATTTACTGTTTCAGGAAGTAGCCCTTTGGGTTCTTTCAGTCCTGGTGCAGGCGGGTCAACAGTTTCTACCTCTCCTGGATCAGGGGGACTATTTCTTGGTATGGACTGGGGAGGCTTCTCCCCGTATCACCTGCCACCTACAGGACACAAACCTCTTGACTCTGGAGATTTGGATGCTGACTTACTTAGATTGAAGCCCCCCGTTTCCAGAGAGCAACACTCTCCATCCCTACCACCACTTCTAACACCTGAATAAAGTATTTAATGCAATTACAAGTATTTCTGTTTGACATTCATTAAACCCATACTTAATATAAGCTGCATTTTATAGTACATAACATAAAAACACCATACTTCTTTGGCAAATAAAAGGTCATCCAAAATGTTTCCTTACATGTTCTAACACACATTAATAATAACTTGAGTGGCATCTTATGTACTATAATATACCAAATTATGTTGGTACTCATAATAAATCCATATGTAAACATAGTCTTGCACAGTTATTAATGCTGGATTAAAACACTTCTCCAGACAATTAAGTGTGTTGAAAGCTACTGAAAAATGTCATCATGTCTCATGGGAAATCATACTGTTTACTGTAATTTTCATGTAGCCCCTTACTATCAACAAACTGCAGCCTTATTGTAAAGTACATCCATCTTCAGTCTAGCTCTCATCACTGATAGGTCCACTGCTGCCACCTTTATCTGCTGTCAATTCCATGCAGTAATCTGTACAGTTAATGCATCATATAAATTACCTCATATCACTGATGCAAATGCTAATCAATAAGTTTCTGTACCTATTGCCCTGACTGAAGGAAGATTATTTTTAATTTACTTCTTCTCTTTCATTTCCTTGGTTTTCTCATTCTCCAAGTCATAATTCCTAATCTTCTGTTACTATCAACCATACATACCCTCCATTATATGCATCACTGTCAAATTAGCACCAGTGTTCCCTTTATTACATATGCATTTTAACTCTTTGGCTAAAGGACCAAACCAATGCAAAGGGTAACAAAATAAAGTGTGGAGAAATGTATGTTAAGTGAGACTTTAACCATGATACCAGTGTCTGAGTAGCCTATGATTGTGCAGCTACCAGATTCAGAAACCATAACAGCACTTAATCAGGGTGCCCTGTTGCTTTACTGACTGCTGGGGTGGTGCCATGGCACTTAATTTAAAAGCAATAATGTCATACATAGGTGGAGGCATAGCTAAATGGCAGGAGGGGCTTACTCACCCATTAAAATATAAGATATAAAGTACTGCCTTCTAGAAACTTAGACAAATTATATAGTATAAAAATCAGACAGAATTTAAAATTACCACCCTAACACTGGAGGCAGCAAGGACCACTGAAACATTGGTAAACTTCTACCCAACTACCTGGCACTACAAACCAGAAGACAGCCATCTTCGTACTCATCACCGTGAGAACCTCAAATCCTATTTAGAATACAAAATTGTTTGCTCTAGTATTAAATTTCTCTTACTTACATAATTTATGGATGAGCCGGGATAGCTCAGTCAGTATAGTGACTAGCTACAAGCTGGGCGATTGGGGTTTTATCCCCGACCGGGACAGAGGATATTTCCTCTAGCCTGTGTCCAGATCGGCTCTAGGGCCCACCCAGCCTCCTGTCCAATGGGTAGTGGTGTCCTTTCCCGGGGGTAAAGCATGGTCAGGGTGTGATGCTGACCACTCACCCCCATCTGGTGCTGAGGTCAAGAAAGAGTAGGAGCTATACCTCCAATCTCCCCCAAGCACCTACAAGGCGTGTAGCAGGATGCTTTACTTTTTCACATAATTTATGATATATTTATAATTCAATCCTGCATATAAAAATGCACAGCTATCATTAACAATGAGAAAATTATTATTTATTGATTCATATTTCTTCAGCTTAAAAGTTTCATAAACCACTTCATTTGAAGCAATGATTGTACTGAGAGTTTCACAAAATATCCAATGTAAAATAGAATTATTTAATCTGTAAAATACTGTGAAATATCCAATAATTGGTTTCTATGATACTTATGATTATCGATACATTAAGTAAATAAAGCCAAAACTTGAAAACCAAACTTAAAAGTAACTTAACCGAAATGTAGGTATATTGACATTTCCTCCACTCTGGATGTAATGATTATACTTCCATGCACTTCTTCTTCTTCTTCTTCTATGGCACTAGCTTCTTTAATTAGATATTGGTATTTTCTCCACACAAGATGTAGCAATTATACCATAGTGACCTGGTTATTAGAGCCTCATCTTAAAATTGAGAAGCATCATGTAATAGTGAGGTTAATATGCAAGTAGGACAGGTTTTAATGGTGCATCCTTCCCCATATATCCCTTGTCAGTATCATCATACAACACATACTGTTTGTTCCAGCTGAAAGCAGTAATATAAATCTACTTACTGGGCAATGTTTATGAATGATAATAAACAGAGCATGACATAAAAGCATAATACATACACACAAGAAAGGTTATATGTAGAACCTTGTTTTTCAGTAAAAATATTTGGTAAGCAATAGTAAGATAAAGTTTAATTTGTTTTACAGTAATAATATCATAATTAAACTCAACTATGATATCACATTTCATCCTTCTCAACATTTCCTCCACAACTGTCAAACTCACTCACAAATAACATTAATATCATAAGACCTTAAAACAACTGTTCATTCTTTTCGTCATTCTGATTTAAAACTACTCAAATTATTTAACACAATAAATAAATCATTCACATCATTTCTTCTTTCTCTTCTCCTTCTTCTAGTCTCATTCCACTTCATTCTGCTCTTCTTAAAATTGATAAACAAATGTTAGGAAAATAAATTAGACTGGTATTTCATAAATAAATTTCCATTAAAGGTCATTAAATAAACATGTATTACAAAAGCGAACAATATTAAAACATATTAATGTCTTCACTACAGTTTTAGAAATATAAATACACACACACACACATGCACATTTCTAGTTTGGTGTATTTTGTAAATTATTCACACTATTCTTGAAAGTGGCACTGAAAATAGCATACAATCGGTTCTTTCATACGAAATATTGATCTTCCATAACAATAACAATATTTAACTTATTTATGGTAATCAGAAGTAAACACATACTGGTATATGTCTGTGATATACAGAATAAGACAACCGACATGTTATAACCTGCAGACAAATATACAGATGTATATGGTTCAACTACTTTGAATATAAATGGGAGGACATGATATGAACAAAAAAATAAATGTATGATTGAGGTTTTCAGTAATGTGAATATGGATGGTCATTTTCTGGGTTGATTCACCATGTAGTTTGGCCATTTATCATCGTTTGGAAGAATATACTGGCTCTTCAGGACTGACGTGAGGAGTGGGTGATTTATATATGGTCAGAAGGGTCAGGCTAAGGAAACTGGCCAATCAGAGCCATGGGATGGGCAGGCTAGTTAACTTGTTACCAGGCTGGCCCTAATATTCAATCCAGACTCTGTGATACACTAATGTATTCATCACCTGACTAAACACAATATGTAAAGGTTACCAAGTGCATGTTTTGCACAGTCCAACAGTATCAATTCTTACATCTTGCAGCTCACTCCAGGTTTCTAATTATATTTTTTTTAACTGCAAGATCAGTGAAGACAACTTTTGAGATGTAAAACCTTGCACGATAAAACTCATGTTGCCATTAAGTTTTATCTGCACTGACATGTAAAGTGTAGTAACATATGGAGGTATGCAGGACCTTACAGCAGTGAATAAAAATGTATACAAACTATCATGTCCTCAAATGGAATCAAACTTTCTACCAGACTGCAAGCCCAAAAATTTGGGGCTGTTACCACTGATTTATCCTTTTTATCTATAATAAACTCATTATGTTATGAACTGGCACACGAGATGTAACTGGACACATGCTTGATTTGGATCTATCCCAGTGATCTAACCAGGTACAACAGGAAGCCAACTGCAGATTGTTTAGGATAAGTCATTAAGGCTTTATCACAGAGGGATCAGGTTCTGAGCCAAGGGATTAAATATAGCTCTTTTTGGGAGTTTCAAAGTAAAAATTTCTTGGATTTTTTTCTTTCTTAAAGATGACCATGCTGGGAAGTTTCAAAGTTAGGGTTTCTTGGAATTTTCCTATTTTAAAGATGGTTGTGTTGGGAAGTTTAAAATTGTAGGTTTCTACAATTTTTCTTTTCCACAGAAAAGTAAGTAGTTGGAAGTACATGTGGATTTTTTTAGCTGTAGAATGAATGAAAGCTTTTGGTCTTAGAAATTTACTTTTATATGAAATTAGAAAATGTTCTTGAACACTAATTCAACTAATTCACATATGTTCAAAAATGTTAGTACTTCAGTAACAATGTATCATTTGTGTAAGTTCGCTTTTGGGGGTCAGCTGCATTTTATCTTGAGAATTATCCAGTGTTTTGTCAGATACTGCAGCTGTCATCTCCAGAGTGAATGCAGAGTGGTTGCAACCAACCACCAACAAAAAGCTAACCGAGGGTGGAGTTCTGAACAAGTACGAGACATCATCCCTCACTAAGTAACACCATTCCTGCATACGAGACACATTGCTGGAAATGGTAAACAGAACATTATTTGAACCCATAGGGGGTGGGATAGCTGGGGGGGTCAGTTCAACTGAAGGCCTCTGTGATTGGGGATGGTGGGTCATGCCCCTCTTGAATTATACCATAGCATTGTCTTACAATTGAGGAAAAGCATGGAAAAAGTCAGTCATGGTAACCCCAGAGTGGCAGAGCATTTTGGAAACCTTATATAGGTCAGTTGATTTGGATTTGATGGTGCTGATTGGTGGAGCAGAAGAGCATGCTGCTGTCCAATGGGAGTAAAGCCCGCTCATCCACTCCACCCGTCAGCACCATCAAATTCAACTCACTGCTGCCTGTCCTATATAAAGCTTCCAAAATTGCATATGATGAACTTCACAGCCTGTACTCCTCACCTGATATTTTCAGGGTGACAAATCTAGGAGGATGAGGTGGGAGGGGAGAGATGTTAACAAGGTATTTGTTGGGAGGCCCGAAGTGAGAAAACTGTTGGAAAGACCTAGGCATAGGTGGGAGAATAATGTTAAGATGAACCTTAGGGAGATATGAATCGATAGAGCGAACTGGATGCAGATAACTCAGGATAGAGTCCAGTGGTGAGCTTTTTTGCACCATACAATGAGAAAGCAATAAGTAGGTTATGATCAAATGTTTATCAAGAAACTTTTAAAAATGACTAGTCTCAAACAGAACATATATTTCAAAAACCTAGCACTGTGAATACTAACTAGAAATCTATATTTTGTAAAGAACTGAAAATAAAACAGCACCATATTCATTAATGTTGTATATGGTGATCACTTTTAAAATTCTTCCCAACTTTATTGAATTTGAGGTCAGATATTTTAAACAATTTGCCACAAGAAAACACTTCATTTTAGCAGAACATTTTTATATGTTACACTTCATCTCTTAGCAACAAGTTACAAAATTATATGATTAAGAGAAGAGATTCTTGAATGTGGTGTCCATCAAACAAATTTTACATTCCTTATGGTGCTTTGGATGAAAGCTATTACAGTGGCAATACCTGAACACATGAGTGCGTGAAAAAGTGGGGTTCATTTACATCCACTGAAAATGTGAGGAAGTCGGAAGACCACTGAATCTGGTACTGTAACAGCTTAGCTACAACAGGAATACACTGAAATTCTACTCCTGTTTTCATCATTTACCATTTCACACTTTTGCTAGACTTACCACAATGGCTGAAACACTGTATTCTAAGATTCTTTCAATGTTCAAGAGCTGGGTAGCTCAACCTGTATAGTAACTAAAATCTAAGCTAAAATCTGGATGATTGGTGTTTGATTCAAGGTAGGGGGGGAGGGAAATTTTTCTGTTAGCTCCACATCCAGAATGGCTCTGGGCCAACCTAGCTTATCAAATTGGTACCAAGGCAAAGACTTTGGTCTTTGATCATATAAATCTGCATGCACTTCATACTGGAGATCAAACCCAGAACAATCTTATTGTGAGACCATCAGTTTCCCACATTTTCAGTAACATTTATGGCCATTAACAACAGAATTCTATCTAGCTGTATCTAGTTACAGAAAATACTCCAGCTGTTATTACTAAACACAACATACTGATTCTTGATTATGAAGGCAGTCCTCATTGTTCCTACAGTCCTTTAATTTACAAACCTAAAAAGGCCAGAAATTGTATGTAAACTGCAAAATATAAAAATTTCTGTGGACAAAAACTGAAGGAACTTCAGATATATAAGACCATATCTTCATACAGTTCACAGCCTCAGAGAATACAGGATATTTACAACAAGCAAATCCATGGTTACGCAGAATGAAGCATTTGATAAGAAAACTGTATGTCACACTTGCAACATTCAAGATCCCAGATCTGAACTTCTGTAATATTTACTTGTAACAAAATCTTAAAAAGACAAAACAACAACAACCAAAGTACCAAAAACTATACAAGCTTAAAGATGTGAGATGTATAAATTGGTAGAATTCTTTTCATGCTCAAATATGCACAAGTTATGAAGTTTTTTTTAATTTGGGATGCTGTCATGGCTGACCAGTTATGAGTTTCAGTTCATGCTTATATAGTTTCAAATAACAATGGCAGCAAAATACGTACATGTGGTTAGTTAAGTAACTACCTATTTATATGTATGTCTAAATAAGTATAAAATAAGTTACAGAAATTCAAATTTGAGTCCCTGTGTGAATTCATAATTTAATTCAATTGAATGATTGCATATAATTTTTTCAACTGTAAAAATAAATCCTTTGGAAAATTCAATCTTGCCAACTCTACAAACAAATTAGATTAAAACTTGAGTCTTCATATTCCATATTCACTTTTAAGGCAGACAAAAAACAATGTTTTGAACATAATTTACAAAGGTAATTAAAATTCTTTTAGATCTTAATAAATTCACCTTTTATAATTCATAAAATTAATAACAAATCGCAACAATTTGTGTTACAATACATTGATAACATAAATCTTAAATACTACACTTGCTCTTGTAATTGTCATATTCTTTTAAAGTCCCTTTCTTTCAATAAATTGGAATTGAACTATTAGATTCAGGCAAATAAACCATGATAATATTCAGCTGAAAAATTTAGTGTAAATTTCATTCCACTGTCATTGTAAAATCTATTAGCAACAACAATTTCAAATCTGTTTTGAAATTTAGATCTTATACCTGAAATATAAATTTAAAACAGAAAAAATGGAAAATGGGAACTTGCAACACATTGTGCCCTATAAATTTAGAATTTCTTATAAAGTTACTACAAGAAAACATGACTTTGTGTTGCATTTTGAGTCATGTTCTTTCCTGTATCTTGCAGTACAAGAGCTGCCTGTCATTTAATCTCAAACATTTGCTACATGTTATCAACAATTCAATATTAAAAAACTAAGTTTCTTTTAAAACATGTAAAACACTAGTTGTGATTAAAAAATGAGTTTAGGTTTAACCTTAATCCTTCTACCATTTATGTTCCATCCTGCGACTTCCTATGGTGACACGTATCCTTCTGCCTTTACTTGCATCGAGCACAAACAAGATCACACTAACAGTGGCTGTATCCAACATTCATGTTGCACAATGGAGTTAATACCTGGATATATCATCATTCTGTTTAGTAAATGGCATAAATTTTAAGACTTTTCAAGAACAGTCCAGTGAGTTAAAAATTATATTCATTTGGCTATTACATTTACACAGGAGCCATGTTTACTGAATAAGGAAACTAAAATCAAATACGCAGTACAGTATTCTGAAAGTACCATATGCAGAAGTTATTTGTCACCAAATCTGTGAGAGGCTATAGTAATACAGATTAACTGGTTGTGAGTCATGCTATATCAACTACAATGTTGCTCAGTGCTATGGTTAATGATTTTAAAAGTGAGAATTACACTGCAATAAATTTATGATTATCAATGTAAGATTAAACAATACAGATTCAAAAAAAAAATTAGGTTGTCATTACATCAGTAGGTATAGTATTCCTTACAACTTCATGGATTATCATTGGACCCTTACAAGGAAGGTACTTGTAAGTACAACACACGAGCCACTTCAGCAAAAATTGTTAGAACCCAGAATGAACACACCTCAATAAATATTGGCTTCAAAATATAATTTATCAACTGGTGAGTTTATATGTTTAAGGAAATCTTGTTCAGTTACATTCCTCTTCAGGGCATTACCTAATACAATGGATAGATTTAACTTTCACAGTTGCATTAATATAGCAGCACTCATTTCCTTCCCAATGCATTTCTCCCAAGAAAATTCCTACTTAATTTAATGTGCCTGCAGTTACAAACTTTTCCAAATTCAAAAACTGACAGAAGTTGTGAAAAGCATTATGGAACAACAAATACTCTTATTCATTTATTATAACATATTGATATGTACTGTTCATAAGTTTGTGTCAATGAAATAAGTATGATCAGAGTCACAAATTCAAATCTTTGGTATTTCTGTTTTCAATAGTATTTGTGAAGAAGCACAAATAAGACCTTGGGCCAGTGGTTGGGAACATACATAAAGAATATTTAAAATTTCTTTGGTTAAATGAGATTATGTGTTGACTACATACTTTAAGATGTCTCTATGCCTCACCGAAGTTAACAATACTGCTGTAAACCGCTTTTCAAAAATCAATATCACTCATGCTGTCTTATTACATGGAAAAACCATTCACACTATACAGCACAACAAAGCTCAGTAAAGGCAAATTACTCACCACCAACTTTCAATGAAGAGTAATATATAAAAATGTTAACACAGGCATGAGTGCAAAATGTTTCACTATCAACTTCCACAAATCTATTTAAAAATGAGAACAAAAGAATATCCCTGAATTTTTTTAAATTTTATTTATTAAAGTCTCCAGTTGCACTTAGGAAAAACATTAAACTTTACAGATTACTGCAGATTTGCTTCTGGATGACATAACTTCGTTGAACACTGTCCAGCAGACAAAATACATAACCATAAAAGAATAACAAAATAAAGAGACTAGCAATATTTTTCATTTAAAAATTCAGACTTGTGAAACGTCTAGGATACATAGGCAAGAAAACAAATTTAGTATATTCTTGTGAACTAATGAAGAATTCTGAATGCAGCTACCAGTAGACAGAATGGGGATTAAAATGTTACACGATGATATATAATTTAATTTTCCTGCTATCCTGTTGCCTTTAATAAGATGAGTTTTTCACAGTTGTGAAAATGTGACTCCCTTCATTATCTTGTTGGAAGTTACCAATATTACTCTGTAATAATGGTAACCATGTACAAGACTACATGGTGTCACAACCCAAAACACCATAATCTATTTAGTTATCTACTCTAGCCCCCCCATTTCACATTCTTGAAAACTACAAGGTTACTTAACAACTGATTATCAAATTATCGCAAATATGCAAAAATTCAACCCAGTAAAACTTTGATTTTATTACCATCAGGCACATAACAACAATATTTAAGGAAGACTATTACTTTCTTTACACATATACTGACACTAAGCAAAGTCTGCATATTTCAATGCTTTGTCTGAGTTAAAATACAATTTCTGTACCAAATTCAAAACACAGTTTTTTAAGGAATTATAACTTCTGTAATGCTGACTTCATAAAACTGAGTGCATACCATATTTTCATTTCCCATGAACCAGGCTATTGCTTCTTTTATTTATATGTATACATTTGTTATACCCTATAAACTCCAAATGTGAGATGAGTGAAATTCAAAATTTAAATTTAGAAAATGTGATGATTATTATTATTATTATTATTATTATGGTGTCTCACAATGCATGATTCTCATTGTTGGAGTTCAAATTGGGAGAAAACATCATTTACTTCAAGCTAATTGTGTTTCTTTTAAAAATTAATTTGGACAATGAAAGAAAATGTATTTCTGCACCTATAAAAGGGTACTTTGAGACAGAACAAATAGAAGAAGTTGGAGGGAGGGGGAAAGATGTACAGTAGGAAATGAAACCTGAAAATAAAAAAGATACAAAACATTTTAAAATAATTTGGGACATCTGGGTGTAAGGAACTGGAATGACAGAAGATACAAACTGATGAAACTTACTATTATCAATATGGCAAAAGAAAAAAATATCCAGGTTGATAGGTCACCTTTCAGAAAAATATCAGTCTCTCATTACATTACAATTACCAACAGTCACCACCTGAATCAATGTTATGCTTCCAAACATGCATATTACTATCTTGTGCAGAATGAACAATGTCCAACAAAGTTTTTCTTGCAAACTTTACATGGCTTCCTCCCACTCCCTGCCATCTGCCACAGTGCTGACTGCAATTATGATGAAATGAAGCTAAATTACAGTATTGGCCACTGTTATAGTCTTGTGCAACATGTTCCTTGTCTACATGTGAGCTCTTTTCCATTACGCCACATAGCTGTATTCATCAGCAGAGTTGGGTGTTCGCTCAATGTACTGTTTGTCAATTAAAGCCTCTATACATTTCTTGATCATGCTGATGGATGGGGCAAACGTCACTTTTGACTGGCTTAGTACCTGAAAACAACATGGTAAATTTTCATCATCTATTTCCTTTTGATAGTTAACAAATGGCACATACCGTATTTACCTGAATAGAAGACAATTCGAAATCTATGACGACTCCCCAACTAAGAAATATGACTCCACAGAAATGCCAGTTTTATATATTAATTTCATACAATTACTACAAACAAAACTGCGGAAGATAATACTTATTATACATTACATTTATTTGGAAACTTTTCTTCTTTATGACTTCCAAACCTCCTTCACATTTCTCCCATCTTCTTTTTCACATTCACTGTCTTCAACACTCCAATCTTCACCACCCTTAGTGTAATACATCTTCATAAGGAATTGCAGATTTTGGTTCACAGCTTCATTGGTACTTCAGGCCAACTAATGATAGCTCATTTTTTCTGACCTTGGATATATATTTGCCTCCTTTGCTTGCTATGCATACAGCATGGTGTGGTATGACTACTAGCATACACTGCATCTTAAAAATCAACTCACAAAATGCTTAAAACATATAAATAACTCTGCCATACACTTGGCACTTGTCAAGATCACCCTTCAAATATTAAGTCCAAATTTTGAGAACAACTGTCTTCTACTCATGTATATACAGTAATGAAATAACATTTGCTTCATAACAAATATATAAATTTTAAATTGACTAAATATACTGCCATTACTGGACTATATTATAATGTATTTAGTACATCTCCTGGCAATGAAATTTTAATTTTAACGTATCACATAACTGCAAATCTTGAGTCTGGCATTATTAAGTTCAAGTTTCTTTTCCCAACAATAACAACAACAAAAATAAAGCCAAGAAAATGCATACACACCTCCTGAATGAGTGCATTATGCCTCAGAACTTTCCTGCTTTTCATTACTCTGACAATGGCTGCTTGCAAGTATAACTTCCTATCCTCATCCACAGCAGACAGTGTCTGTTCTACTTCTTGAGGACTGTCTCGCTGCAGTGCGGCTGTGATCCGGAACTTCGTTCGTTTATTATTGTATTCCAAGTTCAATGTCAACACTGTTTCAGGAGTCTGTGACTGGAACAATAAAAGGCGGAATCATTTTAACTGAGGAACATCAGCTATTTAATAACAAATATTCAGCATCCATTACTATACTCGCAACATAAACATTTAATTCATATTATGACGAAACCTTGGTACCTCACGAAATATTTCAGACTTGAAGAAGACCAAGAACATCTACATACAGAAAAGAACTCTGATATTAACTGATGATACAGTAATTCTCTCTCAGTCTTTTCTAAAATTCTTCCAATATCAAGGTTTTCAATTTATCAGAGAGGCTCTAATATCAGTTATTTATAGACTTCAAGAAGACCTGTGATTTAGTTAGACAAAATGTGCAATACCTCACTGAATTTAGTATGCCCATAAAACTACTTATATTAGGTAATTACAAAGCATTTAAACAAAAACTATTGTAATGTCTAAAAAGATAAACATTTTTCTGATATTTTTTGTACTGAGATTCATCTGAAGCAAAGAGAAGCTTTAGTATAGTATAGTTAAAAGTAAAGTTTATCACTACTGCTTTTCAACTTTACTTTGAACTATACAATTAGGAAGGTCCAAGAAAATGACAGTGGACTGGAATTCAATGAGATACACTTGTTTCTGGTCTATGCAGATGATATTTAGTGGTAAAAAATAAATGCCATAAAACACAAAATATGTTAGATGCTAATAAGGAAATATGTCAACAAGTAAATGAACAGTTTATTTATTTGTGGTATCTTGAAAAATACTGTCAGCAGTTCAAGATCGCATGAAGAGATGACTAAAAATAATAAACTGGGAAGAATGTGGAAAGAAGCAATCATGGATTAACTTAAAGAATTATGCCAGCATTTGCCTAGAATGACTGAGGAGATCCAAGAAAAACATCAATCAGGATATATAATCTCTGTGGCAAGATTTGAACCCAAAACCTCCAGAACATGAAGCAAATAAATATAAAGATAAGTAAGCAATATGTTCATGCAACATCATCTGAATGCAGAAAACCACCACATTATAAAGGTAGCTCATAAAATCCTTTGGAAATGTAGCAATGTTAAAATATTTGGGAATAATGGTAACAAACCAAAACTGCATTAAAAAGTATTTATGAGCAGATTAAATTCAGAGAATGCTTGGTACCATGCAGTTCAAAAATTGTCTGTCTTCCCAGCTGCTACCCAAAAATGTAAAGAATAAAATAAATGAAACTACAATTTTATCTGGCCATGTCATAGCTCATGTGGTTATTAATCAGCTTCTTACTGCAGAGGCTCGGGTTTGCACTCAAGTCAGTCCACGTAAAATTTGTGGAGGACAGAGTGACACTGGGACAATTTTTCAGAGTCCTTCGGTTTTCTTGTCAATATCATTTGACTGCTGCTCCATATTCACTCATAAATCATTTGGGTAATGGTCAAAGCACCTGTTAAGAGGCCCAGGTCCACAGAGACATAGACTCACCCAATTGCAACAATAAACATTTTACCTGTTGTTTTGTATGGGTATGAAACATGGCCCCCCACTTTATAGGAAAAACACAGATAGAGGGTGCTGAGGAAAAAATTTGGACTTAATTGGGATTAAGTGACAGGAGCTGGAGAAAACGGCATAATGAGCAGCTTCATAATTTGAACTTTTCACCAAGTATTATTACAAGGATCAAGACAAGGAGGATGAGATGGGCAGGGGGATGTAGCCTGAATGGAGGAGAAGAAAAATGCATACAAAATTTTGTTTAAAAGTGTGAAGGGAAGAGATCAGTTGGAAAATGTTCTTTCATCTTCTGCAGTGTGATCTCTTCAGCTGTTCCATCTCTAAGCCCAAATTTAACAGGTCAAACAGAATATTCCTGGGCTACATAAATGAAATACTATACTACTAATATACCAGGGGCAGTGTGTTCATGTTAACTATGTTAGCCAGGCCAACATAGCATAAACACTCTACCCCTCTAACATCTACATTAATACTATATTACATCAGATAAGCCATGCTAATGATGCAGTTCCTTCTTCCTATGAAAAGTCTAACATATCACAATAAACAATCTCTCCCACTTAACAAAAATGGGAACCTAAGAAAGCTCTGGAATGTTGAATGGATGTACTAACTCTCCACTCCAACTTCCTTATCTGGATTCACCTGAGAACATCTTCCATAAATGACTATCAAGTATGATGCAAGTTAACAGCTTGGTTTGGTGTATACTGCACAAAAAAGATCACTTAATCACTAGTTTTCATGAGAGACTAATGCATAACTGTGGGCAACTTTTTTATTTGAGGGGGAGGAGAGACCTACAGTTGCTATGGCCTTCAACCTTCCTGACCTTTTCCCACTCAGAAAGTTAAATATTTTATTTATGTAGTAGAAGCACAATATAACTCAGTCTACCTCTTTCTGTGACATTTTTCAACCCAGATTTCTTATATTCTTCATGCATGATATGTGACTGGCCCAACAACACGCATGTTCTACTCTCCAAAAGCAATAAATGATATTTTAGACTAACACAGACATATCTTAGAAATGAATGGTTATAAAATCTAAAAGTGGTAACAGGTTAGGTTGTAAATGTAAGGCAACTCCATAGTCAGCCAAGTCAGCACAGTGATAATGCCACTGGCTCATATTTGTGAGATACCTGATTTGAATCCCAGGTACACAGTGAATGAATATGTTATGGTTTTACTCACTGTCTCCAGACTAATGCTGAAATACCTTAAGACAGACAATAATCAATTCTGTATCTCTCCCAATTTATCATCTGCTAAGTACTGTAACATTTCAGCATAACCTCAGTATCTGATACAATGTCATGAAATAACTGAATAAAAATAAACAATTTATTACTTTTACAGAGAACAGAGGGGTGCTAATGATAGATTCATCATCACCATCACCTAGTGATGTCTCCACGAGTGTCTTTTGTCAAATCCATTCTTCCCTGTCCTCACAGGCACTCCTCCCATATCTGTGGCCACTATTCCAAACTTTATTTTACTATCTTCCCTCACCTGGCCTCCCCAGGGATCACTTATTTGACACGTTCATTTATATATTCTCAAATAAATCCTACCAATTCCTGTGAATAACACACATTCATATATCAATAATTTAATTTTACACATGAGCAAATATGCTGTTTATGACAAGAAAATTTTCCAAGATTTAATGTGTTTTCATTGAATTTTACACTTTCACTTTAACCCTTCTAATGATAGTAAATAAATATTTGTCAGTCAGCTGTGTGTTACCCAATATTCACCTGAATACAAAATTGGTGTTACAAGGAGCTTTCCATCCATGATAACGAAAAGTTTAATTTAATTAATAAATTCTTGTGACTTGCTGGAGTACAATCATATTAGTTACCTCTGTGTCACTTAACAGAATCTTTGATTCTATTAATGATGTGAGATGTTTGCCGAATTGTTCTGAGTTCAGTTGGAGAGATTCTTGTACTTCCTTGCATGTGAGAGAATCAGTCTTCTCAAACATAAGTAGAATGGCCATCTGGAACGTCTGCATTGTGATCTGGTATGGCTTCTTCAGGTAACTAAGTTTCAGTTCAGCTGTAAGTCAAAATTCAAGTAATTTCTTCATATTATGTAACAATATTTTGAAAATAAAAAGTTATTTTCTTACATGTTTCTCATACCTTGACATAAATGGTGCAACCATGTGAGTTTTCTTCCATTAAAGTGATTATGATAAAAATTCTCAAACTGTAAGAGAAATCAGTAAAACATATTTATGGTTAAACATACAAACATGGATTAATGTCTTGCAATATCTGCGGCACCACAGATTTTATGTTAGTGGATTTTATGACAAGGAAACTAAAGTCAAAGTCAGTTTTATTCTTGTTCATATATTCCCTCTCCCTACAGCATATTATTATGTGCCAAGAGAAAGAAAGGAACTCCAAGGAAAAGAAGTGTCTGTTTTGGATATGAACTTCTTCTCTGAGAGAACTAAACACTTATGAAGAAAATATTTTATTTTCATACTTATCAACCCCTTTTCCACAGAACACTTTCCTAAAGTGAATATGAATGTAGAATGCTATTGCATGATATTAAATAATTTTTGTCCACTTACCATTTGTACAGACTTTTCAAGTTCCTGTGGTACAGTAAATGGAGTTAACAAATTCTGTCCCAGTGGCCACGCTCCAGCCTTGAAAAGGAAATATGAATATCAAACGCAACTACACAATCTACTACTACAGAGACAATAAACACAATCATTACCTAAATTAACACAATGAAAACAGGAAATCAACTTCCTGCTACCATGGCTCA